CAAGAACACCTCTAAAGCCCAAAATCTTGATTTCTCCAAAATTCTCTCTTTAGATCTTCGGTGAAATTAGTTCTTTTTGGTACGTACGCGTAGCCCTCATCGAGAAGATGAACTTTAACACTTGGCTCGACGAATTCTGACCGACGAAACTTCAAGAATCGGCGAAGGAAGATTGGTTTTCTCCCTTTTCTCTCCCTCTTTCTCTCACACGTTTTTGGTTGAAGTTGTAGAGATATTTCTGTTGAAATATCTCATTTTAACCCCTATTTATATTTTTGAAGACTTGGCCCGAGTCGCGTCACACGCCCCTCATTTATTCGAGTCTGTTTCGATCCGAAATAATTTATTTCATGCCGGTTTAAGTTTAAATTAATTTTATTTGAACTTTTATCCAATTATAAGGAATTTTTATAAAAAAAATCATTTTTAGGGACCTTAAAAAGGTTATTCACCACCCAGCCGCCTTGAACCACGTGCAAAAATTCGACTATCTCGAAATTCGAAGAAATTTGACAGGATAACTAGTTTCTGCGACACGAATCCAACGATGAAGTATGTTGTGTTATACGAGCTCTAGAGAATGCGTATTTCAATTCCGTATTGTAGTGACAAATTATTATTTTGCCCTTTGTTGGAAAAAGTTCAAATTTTTCTCGGGTTTTACAGCTGTAGTCATAGGCAGAGCTATATATGGTTCAGGCTGAGCAAGTGCCCCCCTCAAAAAAATTTTTAGTACTTAGATATATATATATATATATATATATATATATATATATATATATATATATTATATTTTTATAATATATCATTTGTCCCCTCTAAAACTAAAGACAAAAATGCTACGCCTACCAACTCCACCCAAAACAAAATTAAAAAACCAAGCTCACGTAAAATAAAAAAAAAACTATGGGTCCATATTGTTGAAATCTGAGTATCAAACAAAAAATTAAAACTTAATCACGTTAAATTACGACTCAAATAGATTGAGTTGTGACTCAATAGAATTGAGTTATGATTGATCCCCAAAACTTGGGATAGATTCCAAATTGTTGAAATTTGGCATCGATCCAATTTTTTAATTGATTGAGTTGCCAGTTGATGATGGTGTATCATATCTTTTTAGTTTTTAATGAGTATGGTATGAGTTTTAGATTTTTCTCCAATTCTTGTAGTCAAATAGAGAATGTTGAGTAGTATTGTAAAGACAAATAGAACAATGAGACACATTTTTTTATTTTACTAAGACTTTCTCCAAATGACCTTAATGTTATTATTTATGAATTTTTGCAAGTAAAAGTTTCTTCAATTGACCTTCATTTAACTTCTTCTTTTTTTTTTTTCGAGAAATCACTACTATTTTTATTTATCTGTTAATTGATTTTAAATTTTTTTAAATGAATTGCTAAATTTTATTAAATGAATTGTTAAGTTTTATTTACAAATCGCTGCAAATGACCTTAATTTTATTAAATTTTTTTACTATGTTTAGCTCTTAAATTTTAGTTTAATAATTTTACTATGTTAATATATAAGTGTGTTTGGAACATCATTTATTGAATAAATTTAATGAATTGTTAGTGAATAACTGATATTTTTTAATTACAAAAATGACAATTAACTACATTTTTTTACGACGATGATAATTAGTCATTTTTTGTACCTATACAATATGTATTATTTTTTGGCATTTTGTTTTTGTACATATAATAAATTTAAATATAATTATATTGTGTGATTGGTTGAAAAGAAAAAAATTGTAATGCATAATTAATGTGCTTATTCTAAACAAAATTTTTGTCTCTACCCCCGACTATAGTGGACAAACACTCTTCCACGGCCATGAAAACCTATATTCAGCAATTTAACACAGTAAAAAAACAGAATAATATCATAGTAAAATACCAAAAATATATTGCGGTTAATTTGCTAAGGAATTCGTGGGCAGCCCACACGTCCCTGTTTTGATCTCCCCAACTAGTTAAAAATGCAAAGAAATTTGGGAAAACGGAAGTGTGGAAGACTCTATTTCAAAAACACTATCGTTTTAAAGTTCTCTTTGTGTTTCTGAACATCTCTGAAGTTCTCAGATTCCATTCGTATTGGAATCTCGCACACGAAACTTGACACATGTAAAGCGTGTGATCGAGATCATGTGTTTTAGACGGTGAACAAATGCCTTGAAAACAGTACTATTATTTTAATTCAACTATTAGATTTGGATAAATATTGAATGATTTTTGACATAAAAGTATTGCTATATTCGTCACTCCATGTTGTACACATATGACTAAATTTGTAGTAAAAACTAGCTTTTGTTGAATTACTTGTGTACACCACCGAGCGTTAGATCAATTGGTGAGGGATTGTTCTAGTTTAACCAAGGTCTCGAGTTTGAGTCTTGGAAACACAACTGCGTTTGGTAAAGAGAGCTTTGCCGCCCTTGTGGTCCTACCCGGCTCGAATCCGGATTAGTCGGAGCCCAAAATGACTTTCAGATACCGGATGGTCTGACCAAAAAAAGAATTACTTGTGTACTTACAATTAGTATCATTGTTAACAAATAAATTTAGATTATATAAAATGTTATTGTGCGCAAGCTACTGAATAAACTCATGATAAACGAAAATCTCAATACGAATTTAGACTCAAATTTAAGGTTAAGTAAAAGAGGTTCAAAAAATTTGTTCCAACATTTGACTCAAACTTATATCAAATCAAGAGAGACTCATTTTGTTACTTAAATGAAGCGAGATTGAAATCTTTAATGATGAAATTTCACCCTCTTTTAAAAATTCAACAATCATCTTTATTCTTTTTTAAATTTGGGTTTCTCTTTCGTTAAATTTGAGTTTGTTCATTGAAACTCTTTGTATTAAATTAAGCTTTTTACTCAAATATTAATTTAATTTTGAATAAAAATTTGAGTGATGATTAGAGATATACTCTTTTCCTAAGATCGTGAGCACCAATATTCTAACATCTGAAACCAGCTTTAACTCTACTTCCAAGTTCCAACCCCTGATGATCAATAACACAATTAGGTCAACATAACTCCAAACAAAAAGAAAATAAATGGTGACAAATTGGTATTTCACTTTCAAGAAGGCATTGATATTTTTCACAAAAAAGTGGGATGAACTTTTTATTTTTTGGAAAAATTGTAAAGGGGTATACAAAATTAGAGTTATTTGTCAAAAAGTACACAACTCTTAATGTTAGGTTATTAAATCCTTATTTTTAGAACTTAATTATGTCAAAGTACACAATTTGATTTTTTTTGTGATTTTCTTTGGACATATTTGTTCTCCCTTAAATCATGCATATTTCTTTTGACAGCTAAAATTTTTATTTTTTTGACCAAAAAAAAAAATTAGATTTTTGATTTTGTTTTATTGTATTAAAGATTTCCTAATATAATGAAAGAATTATATTATCACAAGATTTGCATATAATGTTGATTGTGTATATCTCTACCATTTTAAATTTTAATTTTTTTGTCATTATCATTGTCAATAAACATCTCTTTTTCTTCTCCAAATTATCAGTCATTAGCGTTCGAAACAGCTTAAATATATCATTCTTATTATTTTCCGACGAATACGAAAAAGTTCAAACATATCATATTTCTTCTTCTACAACGTTTATATATTATCAGGTTGAACTTATGTTTTCTTTCATTTTTTTTATGTTGTTCGTTCCACAGACTGTTAGTTAGTTTCGAGTTTTTTTTTTCTTCACAGTTTTCTTATTCGTTTCTATTTATTGTATTGAGTGGTCACTTTTTTTGTTAACTTTTCATCTTTTAAATGATTATTTGTTAATTTTAATATTTTAATATTTTTTTTTACAATTTTTTTTTTGAATATTGAACACGTTTTCTTCTTCTTCTTCTGTATGTTGTTTTCGTGGTAGTTTTCTTCGAGATTAACAGATGCTATGTATTTGTTCAATTCATAATTATATGGTGTATGTAAAATTACTTTATAATTTGAATTCATATGAAGTTATAATTTAAAAGTGTATCAATACAGTATGACATTAAAGGGTTTTTAAAATTAAATGTTTAATTTTTGGAAATCCACAATCATAATATCAAATACATGTGATTTATCCCAGCAAAAAATCAATTATAATCACCAATAGAAAAAAGTGTTCAAGAATTATATGATTATGCTATATTTACAAAAATTTAAAGTGTATAAATGCAGTTTAGCAAAACAATATATGAGTAATAGAAACTAGAGTTTAAGAATTATACAAATCTGAAGTATATCAATATAGTGTAGTGGTAATAGAAACTAGAATTTATAGTGCGACTTTCTAAGATAAGATAATTAAATTCTTTAATTTTAGTTGTCAAATTTCAAAAGTTTCCGAAAACTATGAAATACATCCCTAAAAAAATGGAGAAGATTTATTATAGATTTTAACTTTTCTAAATTTTAGATATTTGTTTTATTAGAACTTCTATATATATATAAGGAAACTTAATTTACAATAAAAGGGTATTTAAGTATTTTTGTCTTAAGTGAACTTTTTGACAAAATATTTTTTTTATGTACTTTTTGACAATTCAATTAAATTTTGTGGATCGGCTTCCAAAGAATCCTTATTTATTTGGTTCAATGGTCAGGTCGTCATAAATGTTCGGATCAATTTACGCGCATTTCGACTAATGCCATATCTAATTCAATCAAATGCAAACTAATAATTGATATCACAAACTAATTATAAAACACCAAATAAGATTGATAAACTCTACTATTTTAATATGTTATTAGATAATGTGGTTAATTGTAGTTATTAAAATAATGAGACTTACTAAATAAATATATTATTTATTATAATTAATTAATGACAGCATACGACATTAATAATGTGACGTCACTCTTCCGTTACATTGAAGATGCCAGCTAACGACGATAAGTGACCAGGTAACTTTATAGAATATAGATTTCGGGATGAATACTTAAATGGATACACTATGGAGCACAACAGTTTCAATGGTGAGTCCTGGCCCGAACCCAAAGAGGACACCCCACTCGAGCCCTTCCCCAGTGGTCTTGAGCCCATCCTCCAGAAACTTTCCTCAGCTCATCTAGTATGAACAACACACAAGCACTTGTCAAGTTTCCACACACACTCAGCACATGCCTCGCGGCCCGAATCTTATCGGGCTTGAGGCCCATTCTCCACTCCACGTGATCAATAATGGCTTTTACACCCTGGTGAAAAGCCCAGAAAATTGAACTCCAATCTGATATTCCCAGGCCCAGAGGCTGAAATGCCTCAACAAGACTCTTCTCAATGTTGTTTGATATGAGATTTGGCACATCCTTACTGGCATGGAATGTGAGGCCTGCCTCACAAAGGTGTAGCTTGAGGGCATCTTCACTGTCAGGTATGATGGTTTGGGCTGTTGAGACTAGCACAAACAATGGCTTTTCGACCCCGGCCACTGGGCTTGACCCAACTATAATAGCAGCTGCACCATCCCCAAATAGTGCTTGCCCAATAAGGCTATCAATGTGGGCTTCGTTGGGCCCTTGAAATATAACTGCAGTGATCTCCGAGCAGACTACTAATACACGGGCACCATTGTTATTCTCCGCTAAATCATTGGCAATTCGGAGAACCGTGCCACCGGCAAAGCAACCTTGTTGGTACATCATGAGGGGCTAAGGCCGAGGAGTTTGGTGAGTTGGTAGTCGGCGCCGGGCATGTCTATGCCACTGGTGGTGCAGAAGATTAGGTGGGTGATCTTGGACTTGGGCTGACCCCATTCTTTCATGGCCTTTATTGCTGCTTCTTTGCCAAGTTTTGGTACTTCTTCAACATGTCTTGCCTGGAATTGAGTGAGTGTGCCATGAATGAGCACATGTTTGGATTTTCTCTTAAAAGTTCTTCCGTCAAGTGCATGTAACGCTTCTTGATCATAGTTTTATCACCTGAAATGTCCACCAAACAATGAGTAAAAAAATCAACAATATTTTACCATGATCAAGTTGCTTAGATCATGATCAGATAGGGTCTGTTGTTAATCCAGTGACATTCTCTTCATGCACACATGAATACAAGGTATGCGTTATAATTAACCTCTGATGGTTGATTTAGTAGTTGAAAAAGAGTTGAGACATGAATCCCTACATTTGACTGTGTAGTTTCATTCGTCGCATAAAACTCGAGTTCAACCGATATATAGTTTACACGTGAAGTTGAGATTTGTGTTGTAATTACAAGTTCAAAGAGTGCATAATTTTAAGGATCGATTTCTTAGTTGACTAAGGTCATCCCTTACTTCATTCCTTTGAAATGGCGGGGTAGTTGACAATAATAAGTAACGTTCATTCTCTTTGATAAGCTGCCTCTTGAATTACGTCTTCCCGCTATAAAGACAATAGCCATATGTTGTCTAGGTGATATGGGAAATGGATGTGTAGAAATTATCAAGGATATCAAATCTTACATATGCGCCTAAACTTATTTTTGAGCTCCACCATATGCTCACTGTTTGTGACCCGGAAATAGTAATCTGGAAATGTGGCTTGATCCACACAATTTGGAGGAGTTGCTGTTCCTGTCGCCATGATAGTTGCTGCTCCTTCACCTCGTTGAACCTTGCGAATTTCGTGGATGGTCACCATTTTCTCCGGTTAAAACCTAGGGTTCGACTCGTTTACTATAGGAATGCTGTGGATCAGCTGCTAGGAGAAGAAGAAGAAGGTGTTGGATTGTGGGTTTAACGTAAATCAAATGTTGAAATGATATGAATAAATAGTAAGCTTGAACTTAGGCAAAAGGCCTAGGAAATCACATGTAACATAGTACCCTATTTGAACTGGTTCTATTCGTAGCTACAAGCTATGACAGTGAAAATTGATGGGACATTGTTTTAGAATCAATAAGGAGCCAACAACACTTGTTCCCGATGTCGACATGGGGCATTTGGTGTGCTCCCTGAATGACACGCAGGGCGGAACCACTTTTGAACCAAGGTGGGCATTGTCCTCTATAATT